GAATCTACCATGATTTCTCAACAAAATGCACAAATTAAATGCATTTCTGAAACCTCTTTCCATGTATTTCTGACTACCAAAACGTCAACGAACTAAACCTTTTACACCATTACCCTTCGGTCAGACGTCAAATCTCTTATCATTTATCCGTCACATACGATAACCGCGGCTTTAACTAAATTAATTTTGAAAGTGGACATACATAAGTGAGAGGCTTTAATCGTTTACGATTAGCAACTTAGAGATACGTTAGCAACGAGGCGGATGGAACGTACCTTAGCGCCTCATAGTGAGGCCATTCATGTATACTGCGCTTTTATGGGAGAAGACGGTGTTTGGTCCTATGGTAGACAAGGTTCCCATTTCATATTCATGCATATATTTTTAAGTACCTACAGAAAATAGCAGTAAAACGAGATTTTGGCAATTATACGCTTTACTGAAATTGATTCTACAGTAGATTTTTTGAAGACAATGCATCAATTTGCAGCGTTCCAGCTTTCGCCAAATGTTAAAGTGCATGAGGATAGCTTGGAACCCGCCCATGACGAAAATATCCATAAAGCCTAAATGCAGGACGAAAATCTTATTTCAGCTTGTCTATCATTGGAAAAGTAAATTAAAATAAATAAATTAAATCAAAGAATTTACGTTTCGAACCACCCAGGGCCGCAAATCTAGGCTTTACGCCACCAAGGAAATTTTTGTTACCCCTGCAGGCTACGTACAGTAGTAGTGGCGTGGTTATAAAGATCCGCTTAAATACTCTAGTATACTGTCACTTGTGAACAATAACGGTAGCAATTATAGGCAACATTGATCCGTGTGTTTGGAGAAGTTCCTTTAGCGTCAGTCACTTAAACAAAGGTAGATATAAGTTTTCATAACAGATCTACAAAGAATCAACCCATCATATAAAGTATTCTCGGGTTTGGATCATCCTGGATACGTGTGCAAAGGCCGGCCCAACCATATCGCAACACTGCTTGTTAAGGCCTCCAGAATCCATTGAGATGTGAGCTTTTCAAAAATCTTTGAGGACATCGATTTGTCGACATTTAGAGTTCCGACTTGCTTGAAATTTCATTTCTGGCATGGATGTTTCCAACCTTTTTAATTAGGTGAATTTCTACTTTTTGTATTTGACATCCAAATCAAACTCTAATCTCAGTAATAAGAATCACGTCTAATAAGTTTAGCCTCTACGGACTTTTTTATTAAATTGTGTAATCAAATGGTCTCACTTCGAAATCTAAAAAAAATTGCATCAGGCGTCGCGAGCTCTCATAAATGAAACGCTACAGCTGAAACAGGCGGCTGCATAAGCAGAAGCGCAGTTGTGTTTGCTCTCGTGGTCGTATTTTGCTCTGTGCGTATTGCGGCCTCCCTCCAACGTGTTGTTTTAGCCACCCTCGTAGCGATAGAAGGAGGGAGAGCAGCACCACTACTGGCGCGCCTATCAGGCAAAATAACATCAACAACAAAAACAGCAGCAGCAAAATGAAGGATGTCTGTGCACTTGCGCGTGAGTGTTTGTGTATGACGCCCTCACTTGGTCATTTATTGGGCCACTAAAGCACCCACGCGCACGTACACGCAGAGGTGGTCCATTTGCGCACCTTGGCAACCGACACTCAGACGCTCGGAGGGCTGGTCGGTCAGTCGGTTGGTCGGTCGGTTGGACAGGGATGGGGGCGAGGAGCGGAGTGCTAACCAGTTTCGCTACCAGTGCCATCACTGCCGCCACCGCTACCACCACACAGGGATCAAATGCTCCGTGTGTACGCATTCACCCCTGCCTCCACCCTCACGTTCTCACGACCAGTCAAGCGGCTACCCCGGCTAGAGGTGTTGCTGCGCGAGCGAAGTATTACATCACAAATTTGTGTTTGTGTGCACATACGCTCCACTTCTCAGTCTCTATCTCGCTCGCCTAACTTTCGCATTCGACACGTACGGCTACCAGTCAACGTGTCAGTAACATGGAGAAAGAGACCTGTGCTGACCACTCACAGTTAGAAGCTTCCGAGGTGCACCAAAACTCCTTCCCATTTTACAGTACCCATTCTCCTTGTATACACAACTCAGTGTGACAGTTTTGAGTTTACTGAGATCCATCAGATGTGTTGAAATTATCAAACGAAACTAATGAACTTGCGTTTCTCCGAAATACGACTACTGTTTGAGCCATGCCAGGAACCTCAAAAGTACCCACAATGATAGTCAATGTTTCCTGCAAAGGTCACTATCTGATTCTGAGTAAAAACTCTAAAAGTTCATTTATGTATGATTTAAAGAGAATTTGCCATCTCGACCGGTCATCATGCCGTTTGGAATCTCTACAGAATATCCTGGTTTAAAAAGTTTTAGCGGATTCCAGAAGTATGCTGTGGGCAATAAGGTGATTTGACTCCTACAACCTGTATTTCCATTCCTCACCGAGATGGAGACGATTGGTTTGTCCTCAAATCAGTTTGTCGCCGTTACGAAACGTCATCATGAAGGGGTAGTGTAAGCACTCAGTTTTCTATCTTGTGACGTTGAGGGAAGAGTATTGGGTTTTATTTGTGGAAGACGCCTTGGAACAATTTGGGGCTCTCGTCTGGAAAGGCGGCCGTTGACGTCTCTCTTTTTGTCATGATGACAACACTTTGGCGGTTTGTGTGGGTTTATTGCGCGAATCACCAACACCATCAAGAGCACCAGTAGTTGAGAATGGGGTCACCGAGTCGGTCATAGGCAAGAAGTCTGTTGCTAGGACAGCTGGCCTGACGGTTCACAAGTGGCACTCGTAGAGATGGTACCGGTGTGAGCATTGTTTTTCAACAAAAACGTCTTTGAGTGATTCGTTAAAATAGAAAGACCATTTATTTTAGAATTATTTCAAAAAAATTGTTCCACGCCTTTGGCAATAATTTATCATGTGTGATGAGGAAATAGAGAAATTTAATTTTAAAAACACCTGAGAATTATAGTTTGATGTGTGGTTTCCGAGCATGTATGTTTTTCAGTAATAATTAATAACAAGCCTATTTATAGAATAAATGTTCAATTTATGCGTATAATCATACGGAAAATGTTCCAAGTATGCTTCATCCATAGAAACCCTGAATTCTGTGCAAAAATACTGCCAGCTGAAAGTCGGTAAAAGATAGTATTAATTCTACAATTTTAAAACCATTACTTTGAACCTGTACCTTACCTTTGATTCTATGAAGGACTTTAGACTACATCGAGTCACTTCTTGTTGCGATGTAGATGTTGTTTTTTAAATCTGACGTTCAGATTCCCCCCACATGGCACCGCGCTCGTCTTGACATCTTGTTGCCAATTGAAATCAACTGCTGATGCAAACCGAGTTTTAGAGGTTAACACAAAAGCAGCTTCAATGGTCATTTGAGATTCTAAAATTCACTGATTTTATGGGAGAATAAGAGAATTGTTGCTCAAACACCCAAATACAAAGCTTTTCTTAAACATTCCGTAAAGTTGAAGTCAATGCCCGTGCTGAACTAATGATATGGATGCTTCATCCTTTGGGCAGTTTATTTGCCATATCAGATCCCCAATGAAGTTTGTGAAAGCACGTGTCAAAGTTGAAAAAGAAAGTATAGCCGTAAAAAATAAATGATTTATCAATTTTCAGTTTGTATGCATTGATTGACACACAACAATAAGAAGTGATAAACTTCTCTCTTCCTACTTTATTATGTTTGTTTTTCATAGGCTCTATAGGAAAATTATGGAAGTACCTTCATACAAACTGAGTTCCATCATGATTTCAAAACATGTAGCTTAGGTTTTGTAAATTCATTGTTATTGCAGACCTCAAGTGGTAAAGCGCATATTCTAAGTCACTTTGAGATATTTAAAATTGATTTGAAATCTCCAAAAAATCTAAAATTATTAACCTCGATAGACATTTTGTTATACAATTGTAAGTAATTTCAGCTGTTTATCTTTCGGAATTTTGTCAACCACATACCTATTGAATACATTGGATAACTTTTTCATTTGAGCTAACACAGGCAAGACTTATTGTTATCCGAAATTGAAGATAAAGATCAAACACGTTCAACAAAGTTTCCTAGGCGCGCATTTAGACCAATAAGCGAAGTGCGCGGAGCGATGCTTACTATGTCAACCAATCAGCCTACTACCGTGACCATCTGGCCAATCAACTGTTTAAATATTGGAACTCGAGCAAAACGACACCAGAATGAAAAGATCGTGTTCATTTTGCAAAACAAGCACGAAATAGAAAATGGCGCATAACGGCGCATCGTTTACGCAGCACCCCCTAATTTATGCATCCTCGATCCTCCACATTCCACCGCCTCAAGAGCTACTCCAACTGGTCGCTAATTGGAAAAACTACTCTTCTTCTGCGTCCAGGACACCTTCAGCTTTTAATCGGCCACCGAATAGTAGCGGTAACGGCAGTGGTCGCAGCGGCCCCTCTGCGGAAGTGCCTCTCAGTGGTAGGTTTGGCTTCCTGTGTTACAGGAACGGGCAATGTCACAAGCATTAAATTTATGAGGCCATATTTTGCATAGAAGCACTGGAAATTTTTTGCTTCCAAATCTATTTCGATGCATGCTCCTCAGTTCATTGATAGAAAATCATTTTCTACTGGTCATACGGACTCTTATCTATCGATGAACGCACATTAGCAATAAGTGATACCTCGTCGTTAGATTTTTGTACACACCGCATAAATGCGGCACCGGTGCTTAAAATTGCCAGCTTTAGGGGAATAATTCCGTGTACACTAAAAGGCTACCGAGTAGAAGCACTGATTTATGTAATTCTTGTGTGAAATATTAAGTATAATTATTTGACAGAGGCAGATTTAATCTACTTCAAACGATTTAGCTTCTCATAAAAAATACCAAGGTTTTCAAGCTATGAGCCGTTTTGAGCAAACTACAAAGTAACTATTTCTAGATAAAATTTAGTCTATAATATATGATAAATTGCTGCGTAAAAACTTTATTAAATTCTCAGAATTTTCACAACTCACGATGAAATAGACCATTTGAGATCTAGGAAAATATTCTGATTTTAGAAACATTAACTCATTATTAAGAAATAGAAAGGCATAAATCATGCGCGTAGAATGAAATTTACCTCACCATTTATGCGTTTCTAATTTTAAAGTCAGATATTTTAAATGCTCAGCACGTACATCTCGAACAGCCACACAGTCCGTGACGGTGAAGCAATGCAACTGTCAAAAATCGGGTCCGATATGGACCGACGCTCAAACAGAGATAATGGCTCTGAATTCGTCGAGCCAGACTACAGGTGGCTCCACTACCTCAGTCTCAGGTGCACAGTCGGCCGAGAGTAAGTAGTCAATTTTCTTAGATCTTTACCGAGGTCGAAGATCTTGTAAATAACTGAGCCAGCTATCTAATCAACTATTTATGAAATTACTCATGTTAAGTTTTTTGGTACATTGGCAGCTCATTAGCTAAAATACATGGGTTACACTTTGAACGAAATAATTAAAATAGAATGTTTAACTTCGCTACATCAAGCAGGTGTGAGACGATTTGACTTCCGAAAGCTGGCAGACTCTTGCCTGAGGTCTACAAGAGATCAGTCCACACTGAAGACTGTTGAAGGGACAGAAAGGCGCCAGAAATGCTTTCCCAAACTGCGATTTCACTACCCACTCTTAACCACCCGCTCCACAACCAACAAGTGCAGGTAATTGTGCTACTGTCCAGAAATAAGTAGGCGTTATCAACCAAAGTAACTTACATAAAGATTATCCCATTTTAGAACGAAAAGGCAGTACATATGCCGTTTTTGCTACCGACAATTCACTAAGTCCTACAATCTTCTCATTCATGAACGAACTCACACAAATGAGCGACCCTTTTCGTGTGAGGTTTGTGGAAGGGCATTTCGAAGGCAGGACCATCTACGCGATCACAAGTGAGTTGCTAAATTTCAGTGTCCCTGAGCAAACTTTGTGCTCAAAACATCTAAGGAATTCTTCCACTAATCAGTTTGAAATACATAAATACCCACAGCTGTAAGTGCATTGTATTAAAACATCCTCAAGGACTCGAAGGACACAAAAAGGTTACACGCTTTTACTATATCCCACAAGTGTCCAAGGTTTATACTATCACTTTTCAAAAGTTGTGGCCTCGTAGTGGCACGCAGTGGGTCATTTAGAATTGTATAGTGTAAATGATATCTAATTTTAGAGGATAAATTAGTTTGAATAGACTCAATAGGGAAGTGAGCCCTCTGTCTCCAAAATTGATCCGGATTTTTGGTAACAAGTAAATGCTACGCCTTCACCTTTTAATGATGCATTAAAAGGAGTGCGTTTAGTTGTTCAGCAGAGCCAGCGCCTACAGTTTCAGCATAAATGCACCGAAACGCCTAAAATCAGACAGCCTCTTGCAAAACATGCCCTTGTTTTTGCTTTTCAGATACATACATAGCGCAAAGAAGCCATTTGCCTGTGAACTTTGCGGGAAGGGATTCTGTCAGTCGCGAACACTTGCGCTGCACAAAATAACTCATTTTCCAAACTAATAGAAGCCATGGTGAATTATTTTTTTGCACTTGGTGTCCTGTGAAATAAAGATGCATTCTGTTTTAAGCTCACTCATTTCAAGACAAATTACTTGTAAATAAATTAAAGTGAGCAAAAGGGTAATTAAGGGCTACTAGTGAATTCAAAGTGATTTTCAAACTTTTATGCATTTCAAGGGGCGGCAACCGACTCGTTCCGTAGCTTTATTGGTTCCAGAAATAAATTCCTTTTTACTTTAAAAACTTGGCCAGATTTACGCAATGAAGGACGAGCATCCCTTTCCCGAATACATGACTATTCCACTGATGAAGTGAAATAAAATAAAGGGTATTTTTAAACTGCAATACTTTACTCGTTTGTTTAACTCCCGGTTTTGGTAATGGTTGCTTGAGCCTCCGGGCCATGCAAGTAGTCCCAAGCCCTATCATACCTCGGCAATGCATATCCTACCCGAGTTTTGTCTTCCTTCGCCTTCAGGAAAGTCTCAGAGTACCACCAAACTACCTGATACATTTACCTCGAGGCCAAAACAGCTGAGTAGGAAGGAACAAGTGGTTCTCAATCTATGTGGCAAGCTAATTTAACTACAAATTCCCATTTATGGGGAATTTATTGCTCCTCATTGGCTGATACAAGGGGTACCGAAAAATTTTTCTCAGTCGTGTTTTCACAAATAGTTGCCCTGTAAGAGGTCCAACATGAGTATCTGTGTCTGGTATTACTAGTATTTGCATCACTTTTCGCAATCAGCCCAAAATATGGTCAGGATAGTTGAAATTTCCCAAAAAGTAGTTTCTTGGTACCAGTCTATCCACCCAAGAAGGCTTCCTTGCTTTAAATATACCGTTATAAACCGCTACGCTTAATGATTGGTAATAACCAATCGGAAGTATTAAAGAGCAACTAATTGGGATTTGTCCTTAAAAATTGGAAGAACGATTGAGAAGTCATGGAAGGTACAAACATGATCCATACATACGGTTTGGCCAGCCTTTCCAGAGTAAAATCGCGCATTAAAACTATTGATTGAGGATGCCTAAAAGTGAAATGCACAGACTGGTAGCACTTGCTAAGGGCAGGGGTGATATCCGTGACCTTGGGACCTAAGTTCTACTAAAACAGGTTGGTGCGGCCATCTAAACTGTCTGCCATGCTTTAGCCTCTTGCATTGATGGCATGATGCATGAAACTTCTCACATCGGGACTGGATTCAGACACCACTTCAAAAGTTGAAGGTTATGACTACGTATTACAAACACAAGCGCAACAACTGCATATCATATCACCGTAGAGACATTACATCCCGAAAACTAGTTGCTAGCTCCGTTTGCTAAATGGAGTGGTAAACTCAGTGGTTGTTCAACCTAGCTAATGCTGTAATCACGCCCTAAAAATTGGTAGAAAGCACGAAGACTGACAAATTAAAGATGCACCAGCTTATCCAATTTGACCGAGAATCAACAAAAAATCCGACCCTTCGAGCTTTCAGGGACTCAAAGGGTGACAGATTGCATCAGTTGTTATTTAGAAGATATTTGAACTAAATTGTTGAGCTTAAAAGATTCCTTGATACGAAAGTGAGAATGTACATAAAGCGTAAACCAGCTGCACTCTGAGTGGCAAGATGTCATAGATAATGAGTGACAATTTTCTCCAACACAAGAAATAAAATCTTAAATTAGCTGCCAGGCGAAATAACACTACCTTAAATCCGTTAACTCCAAAACCGACATGTGGCCAAAAATTGCGTAACATCAACATCTATTTGAATTTTCATTAATTCAAAAAAATATGGCGCCCAAGAGATCGCAAGATTGGCCATAAAAATACCTTAGGTCAAAGATAAGAACACGAGGGGAATGTTGGTAACCAGTTACGATCAAGATTGGAAGGATGTAAAAGGTGCAAAAGAGCACACACACGTATCACAAAGTAGGAGGGCGATTAAGGCCCGGAGAAAGACGAGGAGGCAATTCAACCCGCAGCCAATCTCAGCTATATTCGTGGAAACGCCCAGGCATAAAATCAGCCTCGTTGAACTCGTTTTGCCGTTGTCGCGCGTTCCAGTGCAGGCAGAGCGCCAGATCCTTGAACCAGTCGGCCACCTATAAAAGGTATAGAGAACCATCACCACTAAGGCATTTTCAAAGGTACCCAAGCCCCACTAAACTGTATCACACATATATTGCCGTTACGATAATGTGCAACCAAAGGATCAAAGCAGTTAGATCGAAATGTACGGATTTGCCCACTGCCATTTATTTGGCGCACTATGAAGTGCATCCTTCTTATGTAATATTTACTCCCATCTTCAAAGCGGGAGATAAATGAGTTTCGGGGATGCACGATCATGACGCCGAACGGCTTTGCCGACGATATTAATTAATGTGAAGTGGCAACCGCGACAAACAACTTCTGAGGTAAGAGGAAAAGGGCGTAGGATGCCGCATAAAATGGATGACGTGTGGATAAAGTATAATCTGTTGCATTCATAGCCTAAATTGATGACAACAGGAGCAATATAAGCAGTAATTTAAAATCGACGGGATAATTCAACTAAAAAAATCTGGTTTATTTTAATCAAAGGGTCCGCGTGAATAAATAATTTTGTCGGGAATGGTTTTCACGCGAAACAAGTGATTATTCCGAAGTGAAGGCAGAATACTAATGAGTGGAAACAGAGCAACAAATACAATAAGGGCACCGCCTCGTAAGTGTACTACCTCTGCAAGAGTTACAGCCACAGAGCTACTGTAAATAAGATGACAATTTCAAAAGTACTATCCAATCTTCTTTCAAGGTCAAAAAAACTCAAAGGCTAATAAAATAGACTTGTTGGGATCTGGCGAAACAGCAATATTGTTTGCAAGATTACTTCTAGCTGCGCCTCAATGATGACGCTTAAGCATCAGCAACTGAGGTCATAACCACGTAAAAAACGACGCACACAAGTTTGAGTCTCTCTGAAGCTATCCGGGTGACTTTGCTCGATGAATAATTCGAAATTTTTTGAGTTTTTAAACCCCAATATTGGAGATTGAAGGGGTGGGATCTCCCTCAGAGAGCCACAAATTCTAGCGTTCCAAACTTATCGCTTTGGAAAATTTCCTTCCACCGAGTAGTTAAGTATTGGCGCATGCCAGAAAAACTGATGGACTTGTGTAGACGAAAATTAGCATTTTCAAGACCGGTTTCAAATTCTAGTAAGGCAATGAAAGCGCCTCGTATTTACTTGTTTTTGATAAATTTCCATATAGCCCAACTACTACTTACATACTTTTCATCTCCGAGTTGCATTAAATTGGGAAGACATCATGATCCCAGCAACTTCACAGTGCATTAAAATGAAAACTAGGAAAACAAAAGATTATTTCGAAGAAATTTGAGGCGTGCTTTTAGACAGTAAATTGTGCAAGGCTGTTCGATAAAACATACCGGGAAAAATTCCTCATTGTGATGCATCCGTCCATTCACATGACATTTGGTGATTTTCGCCAGTGAATTTATCTGTAACCTCGAACTTGAAACAAATTTTCCATGAAATGTTTCTTTTTGGTGACAGACATGCAAATCCGGCTGCTTTAACATGAGAAATTTAGTATCTTTGGTGTTCACATTGTAAATGCTCAAATGAGCAAAAAAAGCAGTTATCCTAAGCGAAATTGGGATGACAGTCCCATTAAAAGGAGTGTTCTGGAATATGGCACGTACATAGCTAAAGAAGCCTCCATATCGGTCAACATTACTTGCACAAAGAAAGCTAAGAGACTTCCAAACTATTAATTAAAGTGGACAGAAGAGAGCTGAAAAGTTGCTACCGTCCTTGATCAGAATTTACCCCTCAATATGAATTCATGGGGCGTTGGTCCAATCATTACCTATGCAGTAGCAAAACCCAACAGCGAACCACCAAAGATTATCAAAAATTGAGACACACAAATAAACATGTCTGAATGGAACGCAAGGCTGGCCTTTTATGCTGTTAAGAAGTAATTTGTAAGGCCATAAATCTAAAACCAATTTATACTGGCTAAAATGTTGAAGAAAACTAATCTTAGAACGTGAGCAGCGTTTAAAAGATTTTATCTACTAGAAACACAGATAGTGAACAATTCCCAAGATAACTCAAAAATAATTGTTGCAACCTCTTAAGAAATAATCACCAAAGAGGCTGATGTAGAGCCTGCAGTGCGAAAATCTAACAGGCAGTATGGAGGATTACTAACTAAACAATCTGCAAAGCGGTTAATAATTACTTTGCAAGCATCCCAATCATGTGTTAAGCCACCTAAATAGCAGGAGGACCAGGAAAGGTACGATTCAAACCACATCGAACACATGGGGAGTAGAAAAAGGAGGAGGAAGGGGTACAGACCTGATTTTCACTGCCAAAGCATGGGACAGGGTAGTGGGAGGCGGTGAAGACAACGCGATCGTCCTTGTGAATAATGTGGTGGTGTCGGAGGCGTCCGTCGTTAGAGAGGTGGACGGAATCGCAGCGTGCGTCGGGAGCAATGGAAACCTCGAGGCGGGTAGAGAAGGGGAGCACCAGAGGACGGCAGCTCAAAGAGTGCGCGTTGATTGGCGTCACGAGAATGGCTGGCACCGCAGGATTCAGTATCGACGCGCCTGCCGACATGGAGTACGCTGTGCTCCCCGTGGGTGTGGAGATTATCAAGCCTTGTGGAGAGTGGAGACAATAAGACGATTGGAAAAACTATCTCCTTAATTATATACAAATCCATGATCTTAGCACTTTTCTGAAATCGAATATGCTTAGGTATGCGGCGATATCTCATAGGGCCAATCACGAACTTGGCGTGTCGTATCTGGAGTCGCCCATAGAAGCGATTGGAAAAGCGAAACCCCATGACGTCAAAAAACAACGGATAAAAGTCAGTCGAAAAATGGGGTTAAAACTGTCAGTTTCAAGAAAAAAATTCAACCGTAGAGTAGAAAAAATTGTTGGGAGAAAATAGCTTCAACTTTCATAAACCTGTCGAGCACTGGAAGAGTAGTATCCATGATAAACCATTTGTATTGGGTTGGGCATAGAGGCACTCACTGCCGATCATTAACAAAGTCAGGTGAATAACTTTAAATGCGCGCCTGAGGAGGAAGGAAGTGAGAGAAACAAGAGCAATTTTACCACATATTATCAAAACATCATCGAGGGAGGTTGTATTACAGGGTACCGTCTTTACCTCAACACAAAATTGGTGGATTTTAGAAATTAAATGGATGCATGTTGAAGATGGGAACAGATACCATTGGTTAGTAAATAATTCTTCAAAATAAATTTAAAGACTTGGAAGCTATTTCGTTTTTCCTCAAATAGTCCAGAAGTTTTCTGTAGGCTGAACTGGAAATCCACTCCTAAACAAAAATAATTTTTTTGAAAATCAAAGAAGTGGATTAAAAGAGTCTAGGAAACAACAATTTCACAACAGAATATTTGAACGAGACTCCTAAAAACAGGGAAAATTTCACTAACTACACAGGTTTAATCAAATGCAACTTTAATTAAGGTAGTTTAGCTTACGCATATATGATGCCAAAACTACTATGGAAATAAACGTTGTATGGCTCCATAAACACCCGTGTGGGAAAAAAGCGCAAAAGGCGTGAATAGGCGGTACAAAGAGAAGAATTGGAGACCTACCATCACCTCGGAATCGAGTGACCTCTTTGCCATCAACGCTGAGAGCTAGGATTGTGAGGTAAGGACAGTTTCCGCGAGTGAAGGTTGCTTCGTTAAGTATCTAACGCCAAGGTGCATTAAAAGTCAAATTAAGAACATAAGTCTATACAAATACTATATGAATTGAGACTCATTAGAAAACCTCACGCTCAAAAGTTAACGATAGTGGGTGCTATGATGAGAAAATAGGGCTAGTAGTAAGGTATAGATGCAAAGATGACTTGGGAAAAGGGCTCAAATCAAAGTGTGATTGTTGTATAACTTGGTGAGAGAGAAGCGACTCAGCAAACAGTACAACGATGCTCTAAAGATAAGAGAGAAGACCCCATTACTTACATGGAAGAAATCCGCACCAGTTTGACTTCCAACCGAGTCCAGCTCTATGGATGGGGGAGAAGACAGTTCCGAGTTCTTCCCACGTATCATCTGACAACAGAGTCGAGAGCGAAGAATGCAGGGACCGCCCTCTGAACGAAGATGCAAACAAGAAAGACAGATTCGCTTAATTCCTGATAGGTTTACACCCTGTCAATAGCCTACACTTCAAGGATAAAGCCCCCAAAATTAAAAAGACTACATACAACTGCGTCGTATGCTATACCTTCGCCTTGGTGTCTGCGCCGCAAGCGTTAAGGTGTGATTTTACGCAGTAAAGTTACAAAAGTGCTTTATAAATTCATGCTAATTTGGGGCTCTATAGCACTCGGGTACAAACACAATTACTGAATAAAAGCTTATGCAAACAAAATACCGTAGGAGAGAACGTTATGACGCTTGAGTAAGTTTTTAACATAACCACCTTAATCCACCCAAGAATTCAAAGTAAATGATGTAGACGCTGCCCGTACCGTTGTAAATTTGTTCGAGAACATGCGGAAAATCAGCGAAGTTGAAGGGGGTGAGGAAGCCCAGACTACCCATGTAGAAAGAGATGATGGGCGGAACCGTATCCTAGGAGAAGTAATAAACAGACAGAGTAGTGCGCAGAAAACAGACACCAATTTAATGGGAATTTGACAAACACTCACGATTTACAAACAATATAGAAATTTAAAAAGCTGCAGTGATTGACCGAGCTTTTTCCAAGTAATTTTAGTACCAATTACGAAGTCTGAAATCAGCGTATATTGAACTAGGCGACACAAACTATTTTTACGCCGGTAGACTAGAAAGTTAACCATCGACTTAAAAACATATTCACAAGGATTTAGCTTATTGGATTTTGTCATTAAGAAGTAGGCTCGCAGGAAAACCGAAAGTCTGGGGTCAGGGATACCAGCGATGTCGAAATTTACCTGGAAGAGGGATGCCACATGAAGAAGAGTGCCATCACCACCCATGCAAATGACCATATCCGTGAGACTGGGTTCGTTGATCATTTGACTGTCAAACACCACAATCGCGCTTTCAGAATTGACCATTTGGGTGTCAGCCTGCCAGAATTGCTCAGGACGTTTACCAGCATCGGTTATTTCAGGGGGTAGATCTACATGCTCCAGAGCGGTCACTGATCCTTTACGGTCACCGGAAGAGAGGGGCCTATCATGCCGAAAGTGAGCGTCCAAAATTGGCCGGAATTCCTCATCTGCCTGTAGAACTTCAATACTGGGTTTTTCCAAAAATATAAACGCGTTGAAGTACTAGAATAACGAGAGAAGGAGTCTCGATTTGCGCACTACTAAAACAGCAAAACTAAGTGAGTGGATTAAGAGAGCGTGAGGATATTTCACTAGCTTTCAGTGCTACCAAATTAGCGCACTTTCTAGGACCGCAAAATCACGGGCAAATAGCAGCCTGAAAATTCGCTTTAAGTCGAAAATTCCCATCACTGAAAAAGAATCAGTCTTCCTGCTATACTAACTAAACGTTTTCGAATAACCAGAGTTCAGTTATATTATTGCAGCTCAAAAGCACTAGGCTGTTTTCCTGCAAATCGGAAAAAATTCACCTCAGTATTGATAAAAATCACAAAGCTGCATACTAATAAACCTAAAATGCATCAAAAGATGCAAATTAATTCAAGTCGAACAGTAGTAGAAATGTTGCTGAACAAGGTTATGAAAAATAGTCACCCAGTAAAAAAGAAGAAAATGAACGAAGATTAAGACGAGCCGATAAATACAACCTTGAGAAGAAAGTAGACGATGGCTTTTAGGCCAGTGACGACAGAAGGAGTATTCATTTTATGGATGATGAGAATGTTCCTTGACCAGTAATTCCATTTGATCCTATAAGCATTGCCCTGCCTTTTTAAGCTAAAGGGATAGTTTTCCAAAGACGAATACCTGAATGACGGGTGAATACAAACTACTTCACACATTAAAAATCCAAATGCATCCGGCCTGGCCAGCACACGGTACTACTAGAAGGTCACAAACAAACCTCGAGGGCGTACGATTCACTGGGGTGTACTAAAACGAGGACTAAAGAATATGCAATTAAATTATGCACAAAAGCCTATCTTAATCAAATATTTTATTGTTGTTGAATACTTCTACCCAGGCCTGTCACCAGTGACGTAAGACATGCCACATATATGCATTGGATAAAGTGCACAATAAGTCAAATCTTCTGTTTTATTACAAATGCTTGCTAGTCACAAGAGTTTAAACCTTCTCACACACTAAATTGTCAAACTACTTATAACAAAAGTGTAGCTTCCCGATACTTCACTGAAGACAAAAGAAGACAATACTCGGGCGGAATATCTATTCAGCACAGAGGTGTTTGGGCTACTGGCATGGCCTCAAGGCCAGCCCACCCAGAGAGGTACATGAAGGCAAATCCAAAGGTTCAAAAGTTGGGCATCACCAATACCGAGGAATAAACCACCATCGTATTACGATAATACTAGGCAGAATATATACATCCAGCATGCAAAAGGTACTAGGGCTACTGGCATGACCCAAATGCCAGCCTACCCGGCGAGGTTCAAGGCTAAATCAAAGGTCGCTCTTCAGCAAGACCGAGAGTTGAACAACCGTCGTACTACATGTGTACTACACATTGTTATTTGCCAAATGTTCGAAGTGCTGTAACCTACAGTTCGAGTAGAACGGTAATAGCATCAGCACTCCTTTATTTCGAAACTGAAATGAACTAGTTTGCAAGGGGCCTTGATGGAATTCCCATGCATCTGTAATACGATAGTGGTATATTCCCCGGTATTGGTGAGGCGTCACCTTTGTCCTTTGAATTAGCCCCCTTGTACCTAACTGGGTGATGTGACCTTTTAGGCCATACCAATAGCCCAGACACCTTCTCTGCGCTGAATGTATATTATACCTGAGTATTGTGTCTTCTTTCATCTTCATGGAGTCTTGGGAAGCTACACATCATTAATTTATCTCGCAGTGTCAAGTGGCATCCAGCGATTAGCTTCAGCGACTTAGAGATGTCGGGCTGAAGAATCGCTCAGGGTAGGAAATGCTAATTTATAAAATTTTGATTGTGTCGACAGCCAGAAAAGTATCTGGATAGGTAATAAAACTCAACGTTTTAGAAGTCGGTTGGATGCAATATGATAACGCCTATCATTGAAGGGGCTTTACATCAGTGCAAAGAGTTGCGATGCTATCGCTAGGGTTTTTAATGCTGGACCAAGCTATGTGTAAGTAAATGAGTCGTGGTTATTTAAAAAAGTTGGATGGATTAACTGAAATCGCGTACCATGTATCATTTCTAGTGTAATACGATAGTGGTTTATCCCTCGGTTCTGGTGAGGCGCCACTTTTGTACTTCGAATTAGCCCCCTTGTACCTCGCTGGGTGGGCTGGCCTTTTGGGCCATGCCAATAGCCCAGACACCTTCTCCGTGCTGAATACATATATTCTGCACGAGTATTGTGTCTTCTTTCGTCTTCAGGAAGTCTCGGGACGCTACATCTAGAACTCATAATATACAATCTAATCATATAATAAAATGAATATAATAAATTTAATGTGAAGTTCAATACTGAAAAGTTTTGTACTGATTCCCATAATATAATCAACTTGTCACTTAAGCTCTAGTTATCCCTAATAGTAGTCACAACATATCCGTGACACATATAATAGTTACTTGCCCACTTTTTGTAAGGCTGAATGGGTGTTTAAGTAAATCACTTCTGTGGAAGTCACCACACAATTAAATTGGTGTAATTTAGGCCGTCAGTACAAAATACAGCTGTCGAGCTATTCAAAACATCTTGTTAAAAGTAAGCAGAGCCACCAAGTATTAATACTGGCTGGAAGAAGCTCTAGAACTGTGTGCAAAATTCATTAAGCGTAAATAAATTTTACTTCCGTCTAATTTTAATGCCTTACGACACAAAACGTGTTTGATAATTGTGCGGCTGGGTTTATACCCTAATTTTTGCGAAACTATCCGACACTTTATGCTCTTTAGCCGAATCGCCTACGTTTCAACGAGCCAACGCTCAATTTCAAGGTGAAAATAGCTGGCATGTTTTTGTCGTTCTCGGCCATTGATGTCCGTCGGTATTTCGCGTATCTTCAGTCATCAGGGTCACTCTAAGGGTAATATCGGATTATGTCCGAGAAATCTAATGCATCTGTAAAATGTATACTGATCGGTGAAAGTGGAGTAGGGAAAACTAGCCTGGTGGTCAGCTACACTAAAGATGATTATCCCGTTCAACATGAGCCTACGGCCTTTGATACCTACGTTGGTGAGCGAGTTTTACGGTGCCATGCCTTAAGCCGTCACTTAGCATTTTGCATTTGATCCAAGTGACCTGCCTTCTTATTGGTGCTGCTTTTTCTTAGAATTAGTGGGTTGTTGTGACTGTTGTGTTTACAAATCCGTTATTTATTGACGTGTGTGTATTTAATTCGTATTAGGTTTTTCATCTTTTTTATAGCACATTTCTCTCAAAACGCTCATATGCTTGCTTTTCATAATAGGTTCTCGACATTGCGCGGAACCTTGTAATAGTAATAAATAGGCTTCTGGTTTGTAAAAGTATTATAGCTCTATTAGTTTCGCAGATGTACTTGTTGCGGTTGTTAGCGTTACTAACCTACGGTTTCTGAATGTTTTTAGAACTTGTATCTAAAGCCGTTTTGTAAATTCTGGGGATTTTATGGGACATGCTGTGAACTAATGTCTACTCAAATGATTGTCCATCACATGGAGAGCCTATAAACTATTTGATTTATGGTCCTGTTTGTTCTTTACTTAAACTCTCTGTGTTGTTTCAGTGGATCTCCGTGTTGAAAATCGTCAAGTAAACCTGCAGATACATGATGCTGGTGGCGCCGTAAGTTTCGTGTTTTCCCTTTTTATTTTTAGCTTACGCCCACATGCAAGCACGCTTACATTAATTGGCCCTGTCATTTTCTGCTCTTTTGTACTACTCTATTCTGCAATGCTTAAACTTTTGGAGGAAAGTGATTACTTTTCAACCGCCTGGAATGGAGGCAAATTAGCACGCAGACTTTCCACTGGTTCATTCAGTTCTATTTCCGATATATCTTCCAGTTTTGTTAAGAAGCATTCTCCAAATAAATCCCATCCACGATTTTAATTTTGCAATTCTCGAATATGTGATACTTTTGGCTGGATCTATCTCCTAACTAAACACACAAATTGTCTCCTTAACATTTACCTGGGCTTTTTTGATGTGCTGGATTGCCTGGCGTAGAATACCTTGTGCCAAAAGCATTAACTGTGTACGTCATAGATCTTTCTATTTGTACTATTTTCTGCATTTGCATGATTTTTTTGCTACTTTTTTCCATATTTGTCTCTGACAACTTGGCACGTCACCGCAAAGTGTGTGTGAACGCCTACTGTTTACTGCGTTGGGGCTCTTGTATCCATGTCAGCTAATAAAGAAACCACATAAAGCAATCGGTGTGATTAGGGTAGGGTTGATCAAGGATTTTTTTGGGTTTTACTGCGTGTATTGAATGTCTGGAGCAAATTTATGCACGACCTAAGTGAAAGGGGACTACACTTCTCCATTTGTAGCCGCCTGCACCGTTCATGCCTTTATTCCTCTGTGGTACGATATTTATGAAGTTTTTACGGTGAATCGAGCCTTCAATTTTTAAACACACATTTAATCGCGTTAAACAAAATCGCTGGATTTTTGGGAGCTTTTTACATTATTTGGTTTGCTGGTTCCGATTTGGGAAAAAAAGCTTGTGAGGGCTTATCCACTGCCATCATTAATATAATTAGGACTTTCTCTGATTTGTTCTTCTTTGGTTGAATTAGACTTTTATTTAGAAAAGTGGGAAATCCTTTGCGCCTGATTTCAACTACAGTCATGCTTTAGAATGGAATTGCGCACTAGGCAACCGTGACTTAGTCGTACGTATTTTAGTTAAATATTATTTTCTGTTACTTTTTCAAGATGATTGTGTGGTCTGAAGACCCTTAGCAATAACATTTTACTAACCGATGTTGGCTCATAGACGCTCATATACTTTAATCGACTTCAAATTGTCTAATGTACTGCCACAAATTTAAGCCTAGTCTTTTCCAGCTGTTTACTTTTTCATTGTGGTTTCTGTATGCTTCACTTCAAAGGTAAGTTTTTAGTCTTCACCGCAGCTTGACTAAGTTACGCATGAGGCACTAAAAACTGGCAAGTACATACTTTGAACCGTACCAAATCATTGACAAAGTTTTCGCTTTATTAATAAGGAGGAATCAAATTCATGTCTACCTATGTGTTGTGGAGTAAATATGCTGTCCCTATGGAGAGAGCAATTTGCCGTTTGATTAATTAATGAACTTTAGTCCAATAAATATCCTCTTTGGTATTTGGTATCTAAAATTACGGCCGTAAACGCGTCTCTGTGTTCGATGAAGGTCGTACTAATCATAGCATCTTTAGGGATCATATCGGGAGTAAGTTCAATACTTCGAAGAGAGGCATCTCCAAATACACTATCAGGTATCTTGTAAATGCTTGTTTGTCTGAAATTCAAGACTGATTATTCTTTTTTTCTGTGCGGTTTCATAAAGTCGTTTATCGCTCAGAAAGTGGTTAGTTAGTAAGAATTACATTTGTGAACATTTGCTCTACCATGTATTTTGAATATGTTTGAAGATATTCCAAAGGAGGGCAGATGCCTTATTCGAGAAATACTTAATTTATTTTTAATTGCATCCCTATATTTACAAACTTTAGGTTTCAGCAAAATTCTGCTCTGTGCTTGGATGAGCTCAGTTGTTGGATTTGGGAAAGCATGAAATGCCTTTTCCCCTTTAGTTCAAGAAAGACTGATAAAAAGCCATGGATTTGGTCTTAAGTTATGTTGTAATGCACAACAGCATTGTTTTCAGAGAAATTAGCGTTTAAAATGGTTACGTCGTTGGTTTGGTGCTGGCAAACTGGGACTTAATGTTATCTCTGTTGGGTTGTTTCCACATTTATTTGGCTAGCCGTTTTTTATAGTCATTATAATTTCAAATGCTAAATATTCTCATAGAACACGTTATCGACCATTGTAGACCTTGTGCTACACAGAATTTCATATCTCAACCTGGTTCTACCACTTCTATACTACCGGGTGTTTTGCTTTTATTGCATTGAAGAATGTTCACATTCAAGTGTTTTCGTTCACTGTCTCTCGCCTTCCAATTCGTGTTTGACTGTTGATGATGTTAGAATTTTTCGGTTTTTGTAACTGTCATGAAGTGCTATGCGTGGTGATGGCTTGATTTTGGAGTTCAATAAGGTGTGCTCCTCTCCCGATCTGGAGACCTGTTCTAATACCACTTAGGTTCTCTTGTAATACGCAACTGTAGTCGTTACTTCTCCTTGTGAAATGAAACTAATCGCCTGCACTCGAAAGGCTACAGTTATATGGTTGTGAGTTCAGCCTTCTCAAACACGTGTGCACTTCCTGCCCAAGATCACGTCTACGATCGCATCTTCTACGTTTGTTTGTGCAACGAAGGTATCGGCTTTTGCCTCATGTATTTATTTTTTCCTCTTCCCGTTTATTTCAAGCCCGGTGTTCGTTCCCTCCGTGAGTTAGCCTATCCTGACGTGCACGTGGTGATCTTTTGCTTCTCCGTGGTGCAGCCGGCGACCCTTTGGGCCCTGCGTGACTGCTGGCTGCCTGAGCTGGCCGCCAGCGGCCTCATTCTCAACCCTTCCGCCCTCGAAACAGCTTCGCGCATCGGCTGTCTCCCCCCGTCAAATCCCTTGGCCGTCGCTCCTCGTCCTCCCGGTCCTGCCTTCATCCTCGTTGGATGCGCTTGCGATCTGCGCAATGATATCAAGTGCCTCCTTGACCTTTCGATGCGGAACGAGCTGCCTGTCAACGAAGCTGTGGCGCATCGCCTCGCGGTGGAGTTCGGTGCCGAAGCTTACATCGAGTGCTCCGCGCTCACCCAGAAGCAACTTAAGAAAGTTTTCGATCTCGCCGTGTGGTACGGTCTGCACGCACAGCAGGCGATGCTGCACACCGCAGGTGCGGGCGTCAGCTCGAGAAACAGCCTCTCGCCACCTGCACCGCAAGGCAGTGGTGCCTCGCGCAAGTCCAAGCGCCGACGCCATCACAGCCCCATGGAGGCGAACAACCAGGCGGTACAGCACCCTAACGACCTGTGTGCGTCACAGCGCTCCATCTGGAAGAAGCTCTTGTGTTTGCGTTGATCTCAATGGATTAGAACTGAGTCCAGTGCAATACCTCCGACCTCTATTTCACACTTCTCTTCCCTCTTCCGCATGCGTTTTACAGACAGGCTGTTGCGCGTTCTCTCTCCACTCCTCTGACAGCATAGTACACGTATTTTTATATGAAAGTAAGGAAAAAGGCTTATCACATTTGAGTTCATTCAATTCCATCTAAAATCCTCACCTATCTATAGATCTATGTACAGTCCAAATTATTCCGTGTACAAGTTATTCGAGTTAGTTTGCGCGAGTTTTTTTGTAATAAAAATTAAATAATACTGGGAAGCTTTTTAAAACGTTTTTGCTTTGAAATAAGTATAATCGCAATCCATAAATCTTTTCCCAGTAGGATACAGGCGTGCTGTGAATTCCACTTTTTGCAAAACTATCTCTAGAAGCAAAGAACTCAGTCACCCTCGTTTTTATCGGTTCCATTTCGATTGCGGGTGTCTAGTGCTAAGCGATGGTAAACATCACTTGGAGAAATGTCACCAGGTGAACGCAAAGGACAAGGGTGAAGCAATATCTTCCTATCATCCTTCCCGGAGTGAGGTTGTTTTTACTGGTGAGTTTTGCGACAGTGTAAGGTCTCATGCTGTCTTTTAAGATGGGGATTTTCTTCGGACTCATTTGCTAGTCCTCGCTATTTATGAAAGCTTGCTTGCACGCTGAATTATATCGTGTGGAGTTGATAGATCTCCACCGTAACTGATCCTCAAGATATTCATAATGAATAATTCCAAGTGCGGTTCACCACCCTTTAATTTTATCATTATTGTTCCAGAAATGGGGTACTATGCGGCGTGGGGGTGTGAAATTTTGGGTGAATTGTTTGGGAATAAGTGTTGGTATGTTTGCTTAATTTTTGAGTAAAAAAATTGTTTCTCGTCGCACCGTTGTAGGGTATGCGAAAGAAGTGAAGAGCAAGTTGACAATCTTTGAGACTTAGAATCTGTTAATGCTTGTTGGGTCCGTTTGTTTACCTTCCAACAACATTGTAGCCCCCAATTACTGTAATCAGTGACGGCATAATCCTTCGAATTTGCGAAGCTTCGAGGGTGTTCGTGGAAGTGTACACCTTTGGCTGATGCATTACCAATAGCAGGTTTTTAAATTACATCTGGGCTGTGTGTTCAGTTATCGTACCTCTAAAAATGTTATGCAAATGTCACAAGAAATTTCCGGACTTTTGGAACCGAGTTTGTTCTGTAAAGCACACGAGCTCGAATAATATCAGGTTTAGCCAACACTAAAGTGAGATCTCAAAATGGGGGAAGGTACCAGGGTACAACGAATCACTGATGAATCCAGTAAACTTTTTCTGAGCCCCTAGAAGTTACTGTTGAGGTTGCCTGGCCTTCCGTCGGCGATGTGAATGCTCTAGTGTTTAACAGCTTCGGAGGATTGGGAAAAAAACTAACAGACTTTGCCGTGAAGATGGGTCGAAATGCAGTGCTTTAACTGTTCGTTTAACTCTCGGTTCTGGTAACAGGCTAATTGGGGACTCTGTTCCTGAACCACCGCCGTGCAGTTTGGTCTCCGATCCATGCCGGTAGTCCCGAGCCGTCCACACCGCATATTCTGCTTGAGTGATATATCTTCTTTCGTCTTCAGGGAAGTCACGGGATGCTACAAAATAGCTCGGATATGAACTGCTTAAAATGATCATCTAGCGTATTTTTTATATGGAGTTCTGTTAAAAATGGCCTAGATTTAAGATCAGAGGTTATTAGCTCACTCCTCGAATCAGAGCTTAGAATTGTAACAGTTTTGTTACATGGAGGACGATGGGTACCTATTTATGAAAGTGACTGAGTTCATCAAATGCGAATTCTGACGCGGAGTGTATTGAATTTACTTCAAAGGTATACACGAACTTGAAGCCCCATTGGACCCTAGGATTGAATTTGCGATCTTCTACATTCAATTCCCACTGTACTGTTAAAAAATAAAAGAGGCCATTATCTTATGTTATCAAAGTTGTGTTTATTTTAAAACTTGAAAGAGGTATACGTCCCAGTATCGCAAACATGTGTCTACCCCCAATTTCAGGAAATGCGAATCATTGCAGAGCCTGTGCACTCAGAACCGCCTTCGATTACAGCAGCACTGATTAAACGACTCCAGTATACGCATTTCTCACCTGAAACTGAGCCCTAGCTGGGCTCGATAAAAGACGTGATTCACGATGCCTCTGCTCTGTTAGCAGACAAACTTACATCGAGAGCAGAAGGGTTTAACCCTTGTGGGAGTGGTGTTATTCACATCCCATCATCACGATGACCTCCCCACAGCAACTTCCCCTTACAGTTACGATTAGCAAAGCCCACAATGTCAAAAAACATTTGTAGCTACGTAGTTTAAACACAAATTGGTTCCGAGCATTACATCTAGCCAGAGTAGATTTTGAATTCTCGCAAAATTATTCTTGTAAATAAGAGGAAACTTTTTCATGCCGGAGGCATGAATGTGGGGGTAAAGGGTACTGAGGCCTGATTGTGCACTGCAATCCTAATTTTAGCATTCATTATTGCGCTAGATGGATATATCACCTATCAGCCTGACACATGCAGTCACAAGCCCTCGTAATCATACACATTACTACATAAATGACTCATTTAAACTGCTCTCGGGCAGAATGGATACTTTGAAGTTCGTCAAAAATATGCTATTTGTTTACAGCTTCAATAATCATTACTGATGCTCTATGTCAATTAACGTGAAAATAAAAAAGCATTTGTTTCCATATCATAATTAAAAACATGTTTTGAATGGGACATATCCTGTTTTTTTTTTTAGGTTGTAAAGGAAATTTGCCATGAGTGCAGATGCTAAGATGCTAAGATCAACGTTTCTTCGCCTCCAACTGGCCCACGTGTTTGTATTTCATGTTAAAGCAAGGCAAAACTATCCACAGAAAATAAAGAAGCTCAGAAGGGATACAATCCATGCGGCTGCCTGAGTCAGCATCAAGTGCAGATTTGTTAAAGGTCATTTGACAGGAGAAAATGACTCCCCTCTAGGTCCACAAATGCATAGTTATTATAGAATCAAGATAGTCTCTTCCCCGATTTTTGTTCGAAATCCTACCCAGCTTTGGGTATAACCCTTTTTGAGTATAACCCTTCCCTTTTTTGATATGGGAAGGGACAAGAGTTTTAGACCAAATCACGTGATATTATAGAATATATAGGCATAACTTCAATCATTAATTTAGTATTGAACTAGTTATTGAACTCCTAGTAGCGATAAAATGGATTGAATCGTGAGAATACAGAAAAAAAAGTGATTTAAGATGGGGAACGATTTACTAACACAAAATGGTACGTTCGAACACTGAGTATTTCTAACAACCACATGTGGTGGTGCGAAAGTTGACCTAGGTTAGTATATTCCTGTGAAAATCAACATGTATTACAAAATGTATAGTAATAATGATGTGGAGTTTGTGGTTGAGTGCATCCCTATGGCTTTCAGAGCAGGCATTTCTCTTGGTGCTATATTTATGCGCTCAATTCATTTGGAGTGCTGTCAAGCTGTATAGGTATGCAGAAAGGAAGGGCTTTTCAAATTGCGTCTTATAGATGCCCACCTGTGGATCCCCTTCTGTGTTCGAGCTCTACAAGACAATAAGCATAATGTTTGTGAAATAGCTGATAGTGCATAACGGTGGCTGTTACTAAGCTACCGGTTTCAGAAAAAAATTAGCTTTTTGCAATTTGTGCAGTTATTTGACCAGCCTTTATTGGAAAGATCTTCAGGCAAGTAATTGCCTTGCAATCATCGCCGTTGCCACTTACAAAATGAGATCAAAGCGGTGCTTTTGTCACACTAAGTAATTATCTACCCCTCCTAATCGGCTACGTTTACTGAGGCATTAATATCTATAGCTCTAATGCTTGGGCGTATTTTGTATATTCATTATTCCCCTTAATTGGCTTAAGTGGAATGACACGATCACTTTGAAGACGATACTGGTTTGACTAGCACTTACCTTCCCGTTACACTAAGTTGTAAATCACCGTATTATACGTCACACATTCCATTAGGTGTGATATGGTAGGTACGATGTACATGAATGTCATAATACAGTTTCTCTGTCTTTCATGTGCGAGTTCCTTGATTAATGACATCTCTAGGCGGTTGATACATGTATTGGAGCTAGAGCTCATCGTACCATGATGATGAATGAAATGAGCTTAATAGAATAGACCTTAGTAGGACTAATAGTCGGAAGCGTGTCCAGTCGCTCCATCCGCTTAACTGCTTTGCAGGATTATGTAGCATTAAGACAATAGCGGGAGTCAATGTCACTAGGTACTGACTTCCACGGGAAAAAATAATGCAGAATTTCATTTAAACTCTTGCATAACATTGCGATTCTGGCCGGTTGTACTTATTAGGACTCACTCCAACAACGTCACTGCTTTGTGTCTGTAAAAAATTCTGTACGGCATAGCAACGCAGGTGACCACTTACCCACACCACATGGCACCTTGACATTTGACATCCTCTGCACGTAGGCACTGTACGTGACATTTGAAGATGCTGGCTATACTTTAATCACAATACTTTTATTGCTCTAATGTGTCAAATGACTACGTAATTTGTATTCTGATTAATTATGCCTTAATCAAATAGGATTTTTATGGACATGTTTGACATAATCGCTGCTGGGGTCCCAGGGAGGCGTCAACCATCACATTTAAAATGGTTTATTCTTCTAAAATGAAACCAGTTTCGAGCAGCTCTCTTCACTCATTTTAATTGCTATTCAAAAACTTAAAAAGTAAGTATGCTCCCAGCAAGAACTTCCTTAGCCTTTTCTATTTTTTCAAACTTAATAAATGTGTCAGCGATATGATTTTTTTTAGCCAGGTAGCATGAAGTATTAAAGGATGCACATAGCACGTCTGTGAGGCAAGGCCACGTATACGACAATCCAGACGTCGCACATATGCGGCGTCACTAGCAAAGTCGGCTATAATCGGTTGAATTCATCAATTCCGATGTGTTAACATAGTTTAGTATCCAACTGCGTATTACTCCTTTGGAGTTACGATACATTGTCTTCATTCTATTCGATCAGAATAGTTTGCTTTCTATGAATTTTAAAAGTGGGGGCAAATGTCGTAGCTGATGAATCAATACAGATGCATTAGAAGTTGAAAACCAAATTTGTGTTTTCAAACCTCGTAAGAGACACCACAAAAAAATTAAATAAGACAAGTTCGCGGTGTTCCACCATCCGCCTGCCCACCATCCATTTGCAAGATTCAGGTTATTCAGCATTTAAAGTCTCCAGACTTTCGTACATAGATTGTGTTGACTCCAAACTTTAAGTGTTTCGACTATTTGCAATCACCATTCCATGGCAGCATGGGGTTCTATGGGCACGACGCGTGTCGGTCAGAATCGGTGTCTGGAAGTAAGGAAACGGTTTCACTGTTCAACTGATCCCCGAAATATCATACCTACAGTTAGGACAAGTTGCACAATTCCATTTTGTCTTCCACCGTCATGGGATTATACAGCGTTTGCGATATCCTTGCCACAACAAGCCAATGACAGTCTAAGGTTAACCAATTACCTATTCTTAGATAACTTGGGCCGCCTCTTTACCGGAAACAAATGACATTTTTGGTAGATCTTATAATTCTGCTTTTAATTTAAAAGTCTTTTCGATGCTGTAACAACTATTACCACGTAAGGGTTCTCTTTACTAATCGCCTTGTCCAGTCTGCATAAAAACATTTGGGAAACTGTTTTTAATCGTACCAATAGTGAGAAGTCAAAAAGAAATCCTTCTAATCTCCGTGAACTAACCGTTTTCTGTAGGGTAGTTGATAATTTACCAATTTTTTGCCTTGATCCCTTTAAATTTTCTACATCATATTTGTTACTAAGTTTGTCAATCACTCAGCAATTATGCCCTTCCAAAAACGGTTCTACAAGTAGGAATCGGAGTAGCCATTTTCTGTTCTGAATTTGTAAGCTCGGTTCAATCAAATATGATGGAATGATCCACCTGATTACAACACGAAACTTAACGGTTTTAACACCTTAAAAGTGACGCGCTTTAAAAAAGAATTTTTCTTCATTGTTTGGGTATCCGGTCCATCGAATGTGATTGGTTTCATAGTGTTATAAAATCCCCTCTTACTTCCAATTTTATCAGCTTTTCCCGTGGCTCAACTCTACCTTCAAGACGATTCCATTAACACGATGAAATCAGAAGTTCTTGGGAGAGGTTGGTTTTGTGTAAAGAGTCCTTAGAAGGCGGTTTAGTGAAGTATCCGTCGGTTTTATTGTGTAGGAGGTGTCTGGTTAAAAAAAGTGGCAACAAATACCAGTAATAAATGCATACTCTAATTGCGACAGGCCGAAATTAGCAGCTTGTTGCGGCGACTCAGGGCGCGATCATAGGTGTGTTCTGCTAAACTGCGACTAGAACTAATGGGACCTGGTGAAATGCGAGCGAGTGGCGGAGAAAGACAGTGGATGGACTGTCGCACCAGCGGCGGTGGAATACTTGTCTCTTCTGCTCGGGTTTGGGAAATCAAAAAATTTCCACCCCTGTTGCATATGTGGTGTTCTGGCGTACAAGTTAGATCATCCATTTTCTCCAAAGACAAAACTTTTACTTTTGGTTCTCCAGTCTTCAATGGTTGATGGGAATACTTACTTGGCTCATATCTTGCCGTTGGTGATGATACAGAATATTTAAATGGCAAGTGAAGTGATTGGCGCGGCAATTTAAAAAGACTATCTGACAGACTTGTGTCCAAACGACTTCTTGTGGGAGGTATCTTGTATTCCTTTAGCCGTTTCGCTCTCAATGCAGGATCCAGTCCGACTATTTCTGATCGTGATGAGCTCGGAGGATCCCACAAATTTACATTGGCCGACTCAAGTTGATTGAAATATTTTCGTGAGAAATGACAGCCCTCCACTTGTTGTTGATTCTGTTTGGCCTCATCATTGTGGAGTTTTACAACACTTGTATAATCGGAGAGATTCTTGTAATTTGCTTGATATTCTGATTGCAGCCGCCTACGATGTGGCTTGAGTTTTGAGTCATCTTGTTTACTTTGGGGAGCTTGAACAGATTCTTTAGTTCGCAAGGGAGACGATGAAACGTAGGTAGGCCGTTTTTCTGGCTCGGACTTTGTCTGCATATTCTCAGATATCTCTTTCCTCTTCGTATCAGCTTGATTTTTTGCTGAGTGCGGTCTATTTTGGCCATAAATATAAGCAGGTGGTGGACTAAAGGATCGTTGATACTCTGATCTTTTGGGGGGAGTTGGTTGTGGTGAGTCAAGTGGAATATCTAACTTTAACTCTGGCCAACTCTCAATTGTTTTTTTTCCTTTCGATCGAGTACGAGGCTTTAAATGATGCTTTTTATGGTTCTGCTTTACGGGTTTTTTGACCTCTACCAATCTGTCTGACTTTGGCCTTTGAGGTGATCGCACTTGTGCATCCGTTGGCGATAAGTTTTGCCTTTGTCGAGGTGCGGATTTTGAACGCTTATAGAGGATATTTGGGTAAGCAATTTGCGAATGACTTTGACCATGAATAACGAAAAAAGGGTCTTCTGCAGTTTCTTTAGCCTGAGACTCGGGACCCCACAACTTGTATGAATCGCTTTGTTCAAAATGACGTTTATGTTGAAAGTGTGGTTCTAACTTTTGCTTTGCGCCACTAGTACGCTCCATTGGAGCGGCATTTAGCCAAGTCTTTTCCCAATTGTAAGCATTGTCATACTCGGTCATTTCATACTGCAATCCTAAACAATAGTGCACTGGGTCAATTTTATGCAGAAGTAGTTGGATAGCACACAGTAAGTAGAAAATAGAGAAGTAAAGAATGAATGGCACTTTATTTTATTTCATAAAGAGAATAAAGGTCATTTTTGCAATCTTTTAACAATGCAGCTACAAACGGTTCTAAGTATTAGTATGTGTACAAGCAAAGTTACTAAACTACTAATAATGTATAATAAGAAACCAAAAATCGTCGCAAATACAAAGTCCGTAGAGTTGTAAAAAACGAACCAAAAATTTTGCTGCATCATTGAAATCATGCATAGTAATCAAACTAATTCTACTTCGCTACTACACAGAATGCTTATTTATGCATGATGTGATTGTTAGTATCTGTGGCATTTGATCAAGTAAAAAGGCAAGTCATGTAATGGATTTCACTAATGGGATTATAAAAATAATTGGACCAAAAAGCATAAAGACGCTTAGCAAAAAATCAACTTTGAAGCGCAAAAAATTACAACGATGTTTAAAAGTGTCAAAAAATGTAAAAAGACACCGCTATTTAATCCCCACATTAGTCATGAATAAATAGTCAGGTGTGATACGATGTATATCTATCAAACTTTTAAGTGCCTTGTCGATGCCAACAGACTTTAAGTTAGTTCTAGTAAGCAGGTGTGATTTTGCTCTAAAAATAGTTTGCGAAAACTGGTAAATCACAAAATACCCTTTCAAAATGGTCATAACGCCGATGTAAATAAAAGAAGCCAATAAAAACGAAAACGGCCATCCAAATAAAGTCCTTCAAGGTCACTGATGCATTAGAATTATTGTGTATTATGTAGCATAAAGCAATGACTCACTGTTAATAAATTACAACTTTTTAAAGAGTTATAGGTTGTACTAATTCTGATGCCTGCTTCAAAGGTTTACTAAATAAACGGATCGAAATCTCGCACTACCCTAGGCATGAGATTATTTTAATTAGTCCTTACTAAGAAAGCGTATTATGCTACATCTTTATTTGTAGCCTTTTTGGCTGTTGCTAAAAAATTTTTAATAGTATGTTTAAATTTGCCCTAGGCTTGCTAGCAGAGGGGCAGAGGTGGTGCCCTTAAATTCGTGTGCGCTGTACATTTCTTCTGCAACATGCCTTGTACATCGCAATAATACTTGGAATAATGACGTCAAACAACATATATAGAGTTGGAGGTGTGTGTGTTATTCACGTGTGTAAAAGTATTCGGGCTTTTCGTGAGTGTTTAATTATCATTTTACGCGATGACTCGTGGCACATGGGGGACCTCGTTAGTTTTACTCATTGTTTTTAACAATATGAGCATTATTACTATCCTATCTGACTTTGCCGTGATATAGTGATATAGTGATATAGTTCGTCTTCGACGACACTCTTAACCAGCTCCGAGAAAGTGATTCTTTTAATTTTAGATTGCGTTTATTTTGAGGAATCTGCTTCTGCCCCCTACCAAATAAGACGAATCGAAGAACTTGATAAAGCCAGTGGAAACGAGGTGGATGTAAAAGTAAAGTGCTTCTATCGTCGGCGTGATCTCCCTTCTGATCTTAGTGATCTTCATCCACGTTTGTTGCTCATTGTACATTACCCTCACTTTTGTAGAAAATTTTCTAGTTGATGGGCTGTCGGATTCTCAGATCCATCAACTGAGCCAACGAGAGTTATTTGCTTCCCAGCACATTGAAATTCTCCAGGCTACGCACATTCGAGGAAAGTGTAGCGTGAACATGCGGGACGGCATTGTGGAAGAAAACGTACAGTCTTTGCTAGACAGGGAAGACACGTTCTTTTACCAACTGTCCTATGATCCTGTGAAGAAAACTCTACAAGCTGAGAAAGGGTGCATCCGCGTTGGAAGTGATTTCCAGGCCACTATCCCCGATCTTATTGGTAAATAGATATGCTATTTATTCCATGCCCAAGTTTATAGCTTGCTTGTTTTTTTTCTAAAGAATCGGCTATTTGTTTTGATTTAAATTTACCAAGTCTTTGACGCATTCGCATGATTGAGGTTGCCTTCCTATCCCTTTTTCTCAAGATTGTAACCAAATTAATGCCAATCACAAGGAACACGAATGGGAAACTCGATTGTGGTCACCCCCATCGTCGTCTATCCTTTCTTCTTCTGATATCGACGCGTATCTTACGATGTGCAAGTCCCTGGCCACGTTGGCCCGTGCCAACTACGCACCCTCGTCCCTACGCCACCCCAGTCTCACCTCTTCTGCCGCCTGTGCCTCTCGCGATACTACTCACCAGCTGGCCATGGACACTTTGCAAGAGGCTGGACACTCCATTCCGAAAGCTCTAAAAGTTCTCGCTCCCCCAGATCAGGCTCCCATTCTACGGCTAGATGAAATGGAGAAATGGTCCATCACTGAGGGTAACCTCTTTCAACAGGGGCTTCAGAAATTCGACAAATCTTTTCGCGAAATCCAGAAAGCCATGCTACCTTGGAAGTCTCTTGAGGTGTGTTCTTTATTCCCTTCCAAGAATTTAAGGCTATCGGTTTTACTTTAGATCGAATTCACCTTTTCGGTCATTTATGTTGTTGGTGATTCTGTATTCTATAAAATTACTATTCAATCTGGCAGTTTGCTTCAGTTTGCGTAGGGTCACTAGTGCATTATTTGGTCTTCAGAGTCTGGTTGACTTCTACTACATGTGGAAGACGACGGATCACTACTTACAGCAGAAACGAGCCAAGGGCATTGATGAGTCGGAGCGTCGATTGAAGCAGATTTACATTAGCAATTACATTAAACCCAATCAGTCTGTACTGTATCCTGTCGGTCGCGCTGAGGCTCCCACCACATGCGAGGGCTGTGAGGTCAGCACAACTACCCAATGGTACGCTCTTGGTGCCTCACCGAACGTCCTCAAGGTCTGCTCTAACTGTTGGTCCTATTGGAAGCGCTACGGTGATCTCAAGCACATTTCCGTCTTTGGTGGGTGGATCCCGCGCTTCCGGCCTCTCCTAATCCTTCCCTCAATTTTCTGCCTACATTGATGTCTTTCTCCACAGATAAGTTGGGCCCACTGACCATGGTGTACAAGTGTCCACTACAAACTTGCGATGAGGAGTTCGATGAGAAAATTAACTTGGTTCTCCACTTGGACACCAGGCACCCGCAGTACGGCAGTGCTTGTGCTAACCAGGTCCAGCCGACACCCTCCACTCGCATTATCAAATGCCCCACCGTCAGTCGCAACGCCAATTTCTTCTTCCTCGCTTCCTCGAACCTGCGCTTCTCGCGTCGAATGGAGACAGGGTGGCAATGTCGGCAGCGCGCCCGGCGGCCCTTCAAGCCCATCATGCTGGAGATGGCAGTGTTGAAGGCCCTGCTGGTCTCACGCCTCACCGCCCACCCCGATCTCCTCTCACGGCTCGCAGCTGTTGTCTACGAGCAGAAACCGAAACCTTCGAAAGAGGCAGCTGCTGAGCGTTTGCTCTCCTTCGTCGGGAAACTTACACCTTTTGATGAGGTCGAATTCGCTATTAGGTCAGCTAATGTTAGGCTTTTCTTTTACTCACTTCACCGAGTTCTATTCTTTGACAGTTTTGTTTTTGTTTCAGTAACAGAGGTGGGTTCAATTGCTCCCCATTTTTCCCCAAAAATCAATCGTCTTCGGGTATGCTGCCAGTTAATTGCCTTGCATGAATGCTTGATTGAGTTTCTTTCCACCATCATTAAGAATCTGCTTTATTCCTTTTGCTACTACTGAATACAATAATAAATAAATCGTTTCATAGTCGGGAGCTAACACGTCTTCAAGTGAGTGCGCGCTATTAAAAATGCCATTATAAAAAACAATTAGTCCATTGCTAGGTTGACTTATTTATTCACTTTGCGTAGGCGTTGCTTGGATTACTGACACTGGCTCTTACCGTTGCATAGCACTCACTTTTTAGTGCTAAGTTTTTTTTTGTTTTAGATCCTCCAAGCTTCGCAGTAGCAAATTACTCAAATTGTTCTCCTGCAACATTAGTCGCAATCGATGGAAAAAGTGATGCCAACCTCCTTCCCTCTAATTCCACCCCCAGTATTTCTGTTCCCGCAGCAAACTCCAGAGCCGAAACTCTAATGTTTCACGCGACCAAAAATCTGAAGTACGGTTTACTTGCAAATTTTAAGTAGCATTGTGTTCGCCCGAACCACATACGTATGCCCCCTCACCATTGTAGAAGAAAACGCCGAGAAATGATTTCTTCCAAGGATTTGCACCGGCTTTGTCGTCGACCTTGGTCAAGTGAAGTTCTCACCAATGATTTGAATTCAAAGCCAAATGGAAATAATGCAAAAAATCCGTAGTATCAACATTATTCGGCATTTCTGACCAGTTCCTTCTCCTCCGCATCAAATACGCATTTGTAAATTACGGCTGCTGAATGGTGTCAGTAGATTCTCGTCCGCGAACCGCAACACCAAACGTTTTGTCGCACACCCACTATACACTGCCTCATTTTCTCCTGAGTGTACCTGTGTCTCCTTTTTTATCAGCAAAAAACGTGTATGGTAGGTTCTTACAGTGTTCCTCTTCCACTTCTTTTGGACTAACCCGTCGAAACTTGTTTATCTAACCCCGTTGGCATAAATGTGACGTGTTCATTATTAGTTTATGGTAATTGGTTGTGCTAAATCGTGCTGCAAGTAGGTTACTTGAACTTAAAACGATGATATGCACTGGGTGTGTTTTTGGTCTCAGGACCGTTGCACTTTTTAAGATTTTGACCCAGAGCTTAGTTGATTGTAGCGATAGATTGTGACTGATGGCATTTTAGGGCAATAAGTCATCAGGACCATGATGATTGGCATTCTTCTGAGGCGGTGGTAGAAACATGGTGACTAACTTGAGAGGGTTTTTAAGCTATTACATTCGATAACTCATAGGGCTCAAGCCGTAAATTTGAGCCAGCTTGCGGTGCCAGTGGCGTAGCTTAGTGAGCACCAGGTTAAAACCACCATCAATTCTAAAGTGTGGTAGAGTGATCGCAGTGTCGGGAAGGTTTCTTTACTTTCCGCCTCCGGTGTGAAGGATTAGGTTGAGTTTGCACGCAGCATAGGTTTTTGTGATTCACACATGGAAATTCGCAATGCTACAGAGGGTCACATCTGTGTTCGCTCTTGTACGATTGTTTTGATGCTAGCTCAATAGGCAAAGCGAGAATGACGTGTGTTTTCTCACTGTGTTGCTTTTAGGTATCAACCTATACGTATGATCTCTCGTTTTAATGTACTGTTCATTTTTTCCAAATTTACGTTGGTGCTTTGTTTCCCCGGCCACTTTGTTAAGTTTCGTAAAGGCATTTTTTTTGCTGGATGGGACGAGTTGCAAATAAATCAAGTATTTCATTTTAAATGGCCGGTGACTGCAAGCCGGGTTCCTGTTACTATCTGGCTGACCTCAAAACTATTGTTTGCACAAAATCGGCTTTGTGGACGAAACACGGCATGGCGTTTGCTGTGGTGTCGAAATTGGACAATCTCTGCTTGCTTATCATAATATTAAGTGCCTTAAAAGGGTGCGTCTCCAATTCGTCGTGGAAAAGCTGATAGTAAGAATTCAAGTCCCTCATCCAATTTCCATTTACTTACACGAAATTCGACCACAAGAGCATCGTCATAGGAATTAATCTCGTTTTTAATAGCAAAACTCGTTTTAAATATATTCTTCCGTATAAGCACATTCTTAATTTCCGTAAAATGCGACGTGACACGTGATGCCACGGGGCAAGCTTGAATAAACTGTCAATTTGTGTGGATTGTGCCAGCACACAAGTAGTACTGTAGTGAAGTCGTGATTTCGTTTTATATTTTGTATTTCTAAAAACAGCCTGCTTATCCCTCTCGTATTCCTCAATTTGTCATTCGCCATATATCACAACCACTGCTGAAATTTAGCGTCATACTCTAGAGGGAAGTGAATGGACGTCAGTTGAATCAGCCACCACGGTCAGTTGCGCCAACAAAGCCAGTCAAATGGTAGGACCTAAGGTCGCGGTGTGTGTGTGTGTGTATATGTGTGTATGTGTATGTGTATGTGTGAATACGTGAACCGGATTCAATATCGCATAAGAAATCCAAACGCCTTTTCTCTTACTTGGAAAAAATAAATTGCAATTCTGATAGCGCTTATCATTCGTCGATTTGTAACTCACAGTCAATTTTTATAAATCTCTCAAAGGCTTGCGGTAATCCTCCCTTTACGTTGTTATTTGTTGATAAATGCCAGTCACGAAAAAGAAAATTTAATCGAAGTAAAATTGCCAAGAGGGATCCTTAGCGTGGCAGTCAGATATCGTCTCAGTTGCACGCAAATTCATTGGCCGGTACAGTTGGTTTGTGGGCGTTCTTCTTACAGAACCAACAACGTCGTGAAGACCGACTTGGGAGGTTGACTAAGGGGAGCGCTGGGGACGACGCTCAAAAGGTGGTAGGGGGACTGTTTTATGCGTTGATTGTGTGTTTAACTTGCGGTTTTGGTGACGGGCCACTTGGGGTGCCCGTCATTGCACCTCCAGAGAGCGTACTGGTCTCTGTACCATGCCGGTGTGTCGACAACACGTTTGGCTGGAGTATTATATCTTCTTTTGCCTTCAGAGAAGTTTCAAAAGCTACAACATAAATGGGCTTTTTCAAAATCTAAACCAATAGCAGAGAATACGTGATTAATAAAACAGCCTTATTTAGACGAAAACATCATAATTTCTGCAACTTTGGCTAAACCTAGGATACTTCATACACTCCTACCTGAAAAAATTGAATCAGTTTACCACCCAAATTGTAGAGTAATGCCTTAAGATTGATCATGGAAAAAAAATTCTTAGCCGCTTAAAACCCTTTTTTGCTATTTTATGTGGAAAATGCGAATTCAAAAACTGGTGTTTGACTCTCTTAATTGGTCTTAAGTAATATCCATGCGTACTTTAAAATTCCACGATTTTTAAATGTCACCGTTCAGAAGCTAGGCTCTTCAGCATGTTCGCGTCATTTGTATACCACTTCTGTTCTTTGCAAGGTTGCGACAACTAGTTCCAAAAAATCACATCACAGAGTGGTAGAGTTTCAAGTGATTCAATGGCTCAGAGGGGTTTTTGGCTTTCAAATGATATAAATAAAATAAAACATGTTTTGGTGTCAATGATGGTCGATTTGCCCTTAAGAACGTGATAGTGAACGTGTTAGTAGTGATATTCTGGTCGTAAAAATGAATAAACGGGCCGACAAAGTTGCATTCATAAAAGGTCATCTATCCACCTTTCTAAAATACTTCCGTCGGTATCGAAAGTGTTTTCTTATTTTGAATGTTTCAGTGGTTATGCTATTGAGAGAAGAAAAACCTGATGTGCTGTCTTTGCTCAGTTGAACATCACTTTTAGGAAGGCGGCTACATTGGCTTGTGGATGGAAAAGACTGCAACACCGATTTACTTCTAGATGCCATTGCATGTTGTAGTAGCTGCGACAATCGACGGTACTGCCATCTTCCACGTCTGCCACTTTAGATGACCCGTTTTCTAATTTCTAATCCCAAAGTTGGGGGTCACCCCTGAAGCCGAATCTGATCGTAATGTAAATCTAAGTTTATTTCGCATTTGGCAGTCATGCATAATGAGATTCTCCGTAATCCAATTGACAATTTCTCCAGGAGTGATTTTTGTTACCGTGGGTTTTTTTTGCCGATGCTAATGTACTGCCTTATCATATTACTACATCTATTATTCAAAAGTGACGGGCAAATATGATGCATGCACTAAATGCTATTAATGTTATGTTCAAGGAAATATGCGGTAAAACGGTTTAATAGCGTCTGTAGCTTAAGGAAACGTGATCACTCTGCTTCCCTAGTCGTGCATTAGTGTGATTTGAAGCGTTAATGCAAAAAATGCTCCTGTCAATTAAACCTGACTAGTAAAGTTGTTTCGGCCAAGACTGTATAATTTAGAGGAATGTGAAAATTTCCGTGTAAGGATCGCAACCACTCTCGGGTTAATCACACCTGCACCTGCCTTGACATCAGCCTTTTGATGGTCAATGCATCAAAAAACCACTTTCTCGCTATCACTGGACGGAAGAACGATCGAGGCGCATGTAGACGTTTGACGCGATTACGATGCCCAGGGGTCGTTCACATTAATAGTTAAGAAAAGCTGTTAAAAGTGAAAAGTAATAAAAAATATACTCTCAAGTAGAAGAATGCACTGACCAGATTTGCTTAAGGATAAGATCCACAGAACTTTCGATTGCTGTGTGATTCTCGGATCAAAATGAGGGCACAGAAAGGCTAGTTGAGTTCACCTGACGCCTGCCAGAGTCTTCTACTTTAACTATCTTTCTGAAATGGTGGCTATAGAGGTCCGAAAAAGGGCACCTACGGTAAGACATTGTAGAAGATGTGTGGCAAAGTAGATGCAGCCTTACGTAGCCAATTAAATTCATAGTTAAGATAATAAAAGAGAAAATGAATGGGAAAATTGCTCCTAGATTGGGTGTAAATAATCTGCTTTTTTGTTCCGTACTGAACTCGGATTTTTTAGCATTCATTCCCATTAACCGACCAGATGCATTTGCGAAGCTGCCACATATTTCGGCAGGCTAGGTGGTCGACCCCAATCTGGCCATCTGCTGCATTCCCACTCCCAGAGTTACGAACATTAACTCCTTTCATGGCAAAATACTGTTGGCAGTCAATTTATAACGTATTTATAAACCGGCTAATATGGCGTCTGGAGGGTATCATATTGCCTTCATCACAAAAGCTACTGATTTATAACCATGAGATAAAACAAAAACTTAGTTTTCGATGCCACTGCTTAGAATGAAGGCAATAAGCGGTATAAAACAGGTAAAAACCCGATTGACCAACCCCGTCTTTATTTTATTTGTCTTCGTGATCGGTCAACCAGTTGATCTTTTAAGTAAAAGTCTATTTATGTACCATCCTCTTTTCATAATAATAATGGTTCAGACAGTGATATTACTCAACATTGCGGCATATAATGCGCTTTCGGGCTTCGAGTCGACCACACACGGAATTCTTTTCTGTATAAATCAAGTTTCATTTTCAATGTATGCATAGGTGCATTATTGTATAGCCTTTTTCGTTAGAAGTTGACGTCTAGAGCACATTGACTGGATTGCACATATGGTCGGTATAAAGGTAACAAGAATTGTAGCCATTCCTTTCGATGGTGCTTTAAATCTCAGGCTGTACCAAATCACACTCTAATAGTCATTGGAAAGTTTCAGGGCCAGGAGCGCAGAAAATATTCCCTTTCTTAGCTGTCGGTGATGAGTATTCTTGTAGTTATAGGTATCAAAGTACGCAGTACAATGTATGGGTGACATTCTATAAAGTGACAAAATAAATGTCGATTTGCTCTTGAGTAATTATATGTGAAGCTCCAACTAATTTTTTTTACCTTTTATTGTATTCATCCACTACTTTCGTCTCTGGCATGCTCTTTGCTTACATTCCACTCTGTTTGCACTATTACTAGGCTGTGAAGTAACTGCTCTCACTTCAAGGACTACCAACACATTATATCGGTTTCATCAGTAAGACTGCTTTAAACAACCACAGTTGTTAGTTATGACGGTGTGCGGCCTTGACCTAAGCCCAGACACTAGATCGAAATGAACGATGGCTCGTAAGCTCCGCGCTATTGGTTGTTTGGGCATAGCGTGACTCAGTAACTACCGCATAGGCGGCAGTTGATTGGTTGAAATGAAACTAGTTGGGATGTGGGTGCGGACGTGTGGATGGAGAGAGGCTGTTGTGACTTGCAAAGATCGCGCATGCGCGAGTGAGTGCGTACGTGTGCTTTTGTGAGCGACGGGGCGCGATTCACTCGCCCAAACCAGAAGAGGGTAGCAGTGACCGTATCGCCTACCTGCCCACCTATCTGCCTATCTTCTCTTGAGAATCAATGCACGTCACACATGGGAAATTCAATCTAGCCGTATAAACCAGCAAGTTAACATTACTTTCATGATTTTGCAGTTCCTACATAGCCTTCCATACTAGCCGAACACTGACGGGAAAAGTCTCGTTGAACTAATTATTTTGTTTAATTAATGATCATTTTGATCCCCAAATGGCTGCTTATGTGATTTATTCCAAGTTTGTTTTGCTTCTTACATTCACGACATTTCACCTCTTGCTTAAGTCTAAAAATTCCCTTAGAGGAAGCCGCATAATATTGCCCTACATGCTCACCTACGCATCCCGTCGTATCTTGTATGCCGTTGAGATGCTGATTCACCAAAGTCCATCTAAAACACGAGTAGCGTCTTGTGATCTCCTTGTAAATATCATATTGGTATAGATCTTTGAAGTTATGTGTCACAATGTATCCATACCTTAATGGGTCCCACACATTCGAATTATTTTTTTGTGCAATATTATATTTCAAGTTTAAAACGGGTCGGAGAATCATGCACAACTGGTGATTGAGGATGAATTCAATTCGTCTTCCAGTTGCTTGAACAGGGTACTTCCTTGTGAAGACCCAATCCATCCCCTTCCAGCTGAAGCTTGACTACATACTTAGCAATGGTTTCCATTTCACTAACTCCGTGTCTCCTTAAGGCCACGACTACGTGGCGCCTGATTTGGCTTTTGTACAGTTGAAAGGACATTTGTGAGATGAATTTAATGGTCTCATTTGTGGAATATTGAGAGCTCTACCATGACTACTTTCATATTTACTATTGGAAGGTCATGATGTTAGACTTAAGTTCGCTTGCAGGAAGGAGGTCTACTGTGGGTGTTTATTTCTGATTAGTCACAACAGGGTCAAAGTAGGTCAAACCATGTCTGACATGTCGCTCCGTTAAATTCAGTCCTTCTTTCTTAACTGCCTGAAAGCATTGTCTATTTTATATTGCCTTATTTCAAACATTCACTCATTTTACCAATCCACGAAGCATAAAAATGAAAGTAAACGCAAAATCCTATGGGTTTAAAATCAGGCTGAGCTGTGAAAAGTCGTTGAGCAGATCTTACTTTTTTGTTAATGACAGCGGGCTATCATCCGTCTTTAACAGCCAGTTTGCATTGGCAGCAGTGTTGATGACTGTACTGGGTATGAGAGAAGTAGTACGACTTTATTTGTGCGCTGAACGAGAGATGGACGATCTCCAGCTCATTTTAAACTCACCAACAGGAATCGAAGCTTATGTTTCATAAAATGTGTTTCAAATGAATTGGATCCTTTTTCGAGATTTTATACTACATAGAGGCTTCATTAAAGCACCATTTAGAGAGGTTTGACATGCCCATTGCCTCAACAACCTTCACAAGCATGGTAATGAGAAACATTGAGCTAAACTTGGTGCGTGGAATGCCACTTATCCATTTTGAGAATTCCTCTAGTTGCCACGGTGATGTTTGCTTTCTGGATGTAGCATTTTACTTCTCACCCTTAAATAAGTGCCACATCATTGGTGATCATAATTGCTTTCTTGTTTTGTCTTGTGCTAATTAGTTCTGGTATTTTAACTGGTAGGTTGCCTTTTGACCTATGCATCAAATAATTCGATGCCCTGTCTCGGAAACCTGGGGCAAATAATTGGTTTGATGGAGAAACGCTGATTAAGTTGACCATATATGCAGAAGTTAAGGTACCGGTTTTCCATCTGAAGCACTGATTTTGAACTCCTCATTTCGTAAGTTGAGCGGTTGAGACGAAATGGTTGAATATCAATTCACAACATCGAGTAGCGTATCCATGCTATCGATAGTCGGGTCGTTCGTTTTAATGAATGCTAATGGAACCATGTGTACTCTAAAGAGCCTTTTGATTTGTCAGGCATCTGCTCCATTTCCATTTTTTGCCTACAAAAGTTGGAAACCAATAACTGCCCTCTGGGGATCGACTATGGGTCATAAAGTATGTATAGCGCTCGTTTACGTTACTTATGAAGCGGGAAATATTTGTAACGTTCAAGAAATTTTTTTTCACTAAAATCTCTCACGATGTAATTATACTACTGTGACTACTTCCCAATGCGACAAATTGACTGTTTTTACGATGTGAAGAACTCTTTGGCTGTGAATAGATTGCGATCACTGGATTATGTTTCTCGTTGGCACTTTGCTTGAGTAAGAGGCTTCACACATTTATTTTGGCATCATTTATAAGCTGAATCCACGAACACCTATTTGGTGGGAGGACCAGTTTTTTACTAGGTGCATGTTGAACGTATGCTTTTTTAACTGTAGAAGTTGAGTTCATGGAAGAATTGCCACCGGTTTGCACTGGCGGATTCGTGGAATACATAGCCGAGCACGTTAAGGGTCTGAATTGGCAAGGCATATCAACCCATTGTGTCCTTTCTCAAACCGATCTCATTCTCTTCCTGTGCATTTTATGCATGTCTTTAGTTGTTCTTTGTATCTTTTTACTGTCCGATGTCTCCATTTGGAGGCATTTATCACACCGCCGAAGGTTTCCGTTTAGCCGACCAAGTTCCAATCACTTCTGTTCCACGGAGGGGAATTTTCACCAAAGACTGATCTTAATGAGCGATATTGTGCAACCAATTCATCGGCCCTGCATGATACATTTGCATACTTATATATCTTCCAAGAAACTTGGTATCACTGCTCCTGCAAGTTTGACTACAGCTATGCATTCCCTGGAGCCTCTAAAGTTCCCTATAGACGGGAAGGATAATACCGGTGGAGCCTCTATTTCCCTTCGATCGCGTCGTAAAAGTGTGGAAATTCAATTACTTTTCATTGTCTTAATGATCACCCTGATACTTGCGCTTGTGATCGGTGCTGTCTACACCTGTTTTGCAGCTTGGAGAATCAGAATCACCATCTACAGCTTAACGGACCACATTGAAGAAGTTGCTGCTTCCTCAAAGCTACTGACAAATACCTTTATAAGCGAAGCATACACAATAATGAATCAAGTAATTGAAGATGATGTTGCGCAGAATAATCCGAAAAGTCACTTGAGACCATTTATAGAGGAAATGAAACTTATCTGGGGTGATCAGGCCATGCGTCTATATGCAATGGCTCAGAAACTTAGTCCTCCTAAGGCCTGGTTGCGCCAACAAACTCGCACCAGTCTCCTTCATTTTAACACGTTCCTCCGTCGTCTTTCCTCCCTCCTTGCTGTTGCGCCCATCCTCAGTGAGAGTAGCATCAGATCGACCAACGATCTTTTCCTGTCGTACTCATATGAGCTGGCGCGTCTAACCCCGCACCCGATTCTTACGCCAATATCTTGGAGAAGCATACCAATACTTAACTTCACTGCTACCGAGCTGTGCAAACACAGTACAACGCATTTCCCGACGTGTGCTGAAGTTGAATCATACTTTACAATGATTATAAGCAAATTGGAGGCTTGGCCGCGATATGAGAAAAACCGGGATTTCACCAAAGTTACGGCTTATTCCCTGCTTCCTCGTATGCTAAACGCTGAAGCGCATGTGGAAAAATGGTTGCCGTTAGCACAAGACCCTACTGGTAATATCCCTTTCCTTTTCGATGAGTTTCTTGTTTGGGAGATTGAGAAGGAGAGGAAGAAACTGAACCAAAGCCTTGACGCCCTGCCTCGACAGTGGGCGAACAGCTCAATTAAGAAGTACTTGGATGTGGCCGCAGTGTTACCAATCGTCTTGGCCGGAGCCCTAACACTTCTTGTGGCGATCTCAATAGTTGCCTCCCTCTTCAACTCCGACCTTTTCTGTGGTGCACTGCGATGCAGCCGAGCTAGAAAGGATGTCCAAATGGAGAGATTTGCCTCATGTTACCTTTTATTAGTTGCGATTTTCACAACTATGCTTTCCGTCACCGGAGTGGGATGCGGCATAGTGGGCAGTATAGGTCAGAGTCAGGTATGCGACGTTCTCCTTGTGAGGTCCCAGCATGCTGATGTTTGGCTAAATCACTTGCTAACCAGCATCGTCCCCCGGATGCCAGATCTACGGGAGGTCCTCGAAATCGAGAATATTCACTTTCGAATTCCTAAAAGAGTCGTTAGTACCTTGGATACCAATTACACCCCTTCTTCGCCGCCATTCCTCCAATCGGTTGGCATGAGCCGTCCAGTCAATCTGTCTGCCCTGCTGCACTCTACGTGGCTCAACAAGACCCTATACGG